GTAAGCGACTAAAATATCAGAAAACAGATGTAAATACCTACTTGTAAAAGTTCAGCTGACACACACTAAATTACTTACTAACAACCTAATCAGTATATTAAATACATAAATCAATTTATTTAACGATACACGTTTTTGGGAATCAAAAGTTAATTAAAGCAAGATCTGGGTTGTTTACAGTTGGTGATATCTAAGAAAAATTAATTGACGCGCTGATGTTTAGAACGTGAATACACCAATTCGACATTTATTCTAATCCAAAAAAATAAGTGTATATTGGGTGATCATTTAAATGCCTTCAATATCGGCGCTTCCTACTAGAAAATTCTCCGAATCTAAAGTTATCCAGACATTACAACGATGACAATAATAGGCGAAGTCAGTAAGTAGAGCAAGAGTTTCGTACAGTCAGAAAATAATGGACATTCTAGCCTGAAATAAATTTCATGAGGTCTAGGTCATTTTTAAGAAGTGGAAGGTAACCAATCGCACGGTGGATTAAATACGATAGAAATTAAGAATAAAAGCATACTATACTGACGACCTTAGGCTACTCATCAGCCCCTCACAAAAAATACCTTAGTTACAAATCGATTCATAGTAAAAAGAAGACAATAAGAATACATGTTCAGCTATTTATCATCATAAATGAGAAAAAATTAGGGTTAAGAACCAGTAACTATGGTACGGTTGGGATTTAGAGTTGAGGTTATGATGAAGAATACTTTTCAGCCACTCAAACAAATCTGGCTACTCTTTGAATCACATAAGATAAACTAAACGAGTAAATAAGTTTTGAGTTACGATTATTACAGGAGTATGTTTTTTATTCTAACTAACATGCTATTTTACATTCCATGTGTGATTGAACTTTAGAAGCGTCTACCAGTTTTAATCGTATTAGGAACAAGATCTAGGTAATTTCTACTTAGCTCCTAATACGATACAAGCTACCTCCCACTGAATTTAAATCTTGTGTACAAATCCAAGAGTCACTAAATCAAATCTCATTAGTTCACTAGAATAGCATCTGTTATATTTGAGACGTTAATAAATATCACTTGCTAGATTCGCTAATCGAAATTCCGATTATAATTTCATCACTCCGCTTGTATTTTTCCGTATACGTCTAGCGTCCCAAGCCTTGACTAGTGATATGTGCCGGCCAACACAGTTATCTATGGGCTGAGGGTAATGTTCGCTTGACCCATATTGGCCCGTTGATTCCCAACCTAGACCCTGAATAAAAGAAGACATCAGCCAAGCTTCCGTTACATATTTTAGGCACCCATTATATCTATCTCAAGCACACACTAGTCTATATACTTGAGTTATCGGACCGCAACGCACCTCAGATGTGCTATAAGTGGCAGAGAATGTAGCAAACAGTACATAAATAATAATTGAGGAATAATAAATCATACAACAATAGTTAATAGATTTACTGGAAGATTACAACAAGGAAAACATAGAAATACAATTATACAGTTGTTTGTTAATTATACAAAATATAATCTATAAACTAGACACAAGCGTTGCACTTCCCCCAATATTACCTCCATCACGACAATATACGTTAACCAAGATAAAATTTACAATAAAATAAACATTTAGTACAGGAAGAGGGAAAGGACGGTAGCATCAGAGACCTGACCTGTAAAACACGACATATTAACACAGTTTACAGCCAATAGATGATTAGATACAACATATTCAACAATCTGCAGATTATTATTATCCAACAGCTTCATAAAATATCATTTGAAATACTCCATATATCTAAGTAACTTCATACGCAAAACTAACGACTTCTATCGTATATGATGGCCATAAAAAATTCCAACTATATACATCTATGGTCTATGCTACTTATGTCTACAGACATAAGTATCAACAATGGAAAATACAAGCCCAAAAGACGATTTTTTAAAGGTGGAAGTAACTGTAGTTTAATCACTTATTGATGATTACACTTATATACCGATTCCCAGAAGATATGATCTTGAGTGTTTAGGATATCGACCTACTGTAATTTAGTTATTAAAATAATTTACATTTTTTAAAAGGTAGAGCTGTTATTTGTTCAGATCTCTAAAGTAACGTTTAACAGGTTGAGAACATAATGTACATGTCGTTAGATAGCTTGTACTATTACATTTTAGATGAAATATACAAGTAAGTAGACAAAAAGTAAGAGTCAACATGACTAAAATAATAAATTGGCCTGGAGAAATATTGGAATTAAAAAGCGGAATTACGTTCTTTTACTCATTGTAATTTTTGTTTAAGATACGATGTTCTTGTATTAAATCAACATGAATTGTGCTCAGCATGACACTCAGGATAACTATATTTTTTATATATGTAATTTCATTCTAATTAACAGTGAAAAGAGGTTTACAATCAATCTATGAATGAGTGTATTTTCGACTAGGGTCATCGTTGTCGTGTTTTGGGGTTAATAAATCTTTATTTGTACTAGTCTTTGTGTTCTTTCTTCCGAGTCGTGGGAATCGCAGTGGCTCCTTATTTTACAAGTATAAGTGATAAGCGATTCCGACATAACAATTGGTGACGCAGTTATAACAGTTGACCACCAGTCATAACAATTGGCAACGACTCGATATAACACCTTGACTATAAACATATCTTATGGTATGTTTTCCGATGCATAATTTTGTTGTATGTATCGAACATTTTTTAAGAATAAATCGTTCTCTTGAGCTTGAGTTCAGAAAATATCAAAATTAGTCGAGATTAGAACTTTCGCTCGGAACTAACATTGGAGAAGGTAATGCAGAGCATTGATTACTCTAGTTCCGTCAAAGGTTTGTAATGTTTAGTACTATTTCAAGCTTACATGGATTATTTTAGCTTCTGAAGAGACCAATTTATTTATTGTTCTTGAGTTGCATTTTGACCTTGTCGATTATTCGCTTATTAAACTAGACTGTTTTTTGTATGAGAGTATGTGTGTATTGCTTACCCTGTTAATCACATCTTTAGCTTTTTTTTCTGGCTATAAATATTGAGTCGCACTTGATCAAAGAGAATCGTCAGACTTACCTTCTCTGGGTTTCTCATTTTTAATATCTGTTTGAAATAAATTCATCCAACTTAACACGTATTTAACTTCTTACCGCCGTTTCACAAACAGGATTAGCCCAGGAGTAATATACTGAATTAGGATGGAACGTTTATATACATGGAATATCTATTTTGTTCGATCGAATTGGAGTTAGATCAGAGGGCCACAAAGGGTTTCTCACACTGTGGAAGGATATTTCTTTGTGGGTTATCAGAAAATTGAACTGGGTTATTCGTAGTCTTGATGGCCATTGAGTGTTAACACTAGGCCGAAGGGACTGCTTGAGACAGGTCACACAAGACCATCTTGTTAGTAGTTCTGACTTAGATTTGTACGTTTCTTAAGCCTTATCGCTAGCGATGGGAGTCCGTGAGACGAGGTGCGCTATTTTTCGAATAAAACCCTTCGTTTTGTTGTGACAATGAAGGATTCAATGGGACACTTTACTCCCATTACATCGCAGAACAGATGGTTTTACTTTTACCCTCAGATTTTTTTAAAGCCTGATTGCTATCTACAGCCTAGTATGATAGAACACCAAGGAACTAAGATCCCAACCACTGTACCTCGACTGGATGGTCACAATAAACGAGCCACCAATCAAAGTAGTAGCCTTGCTTAGGGTAACTCACTTATAAGTTCGTGAACAGTGCTAATAATTTCGTCCTAATTTGACTTTAATACAATGAACGAAACTATTTTATCTTTCTTCCTTTCCCCAGCAATTAGAATGAGAACACTAGTTTTTGCAGATGAAGATATTTGATGTCGGCCCCGTGTAATCAATAGGAATAAATTTTGTAGATTATATCCCAATAAAAAAAATTAGAATACTTAAACTGAATGATTGTCACTGACACAAAATATCGTAAGAAACGTATTTAAATCCCATGACAAGGTGTTTACACTGTATAATTTACTGTCACAAAATGTTTACTACATAAGTTGTCATTTCAAATCGTATATCGCCGGCTCTCACATTTCTTAATACCGACATTTTATACGTAGATAACTGTTAGGCCTCTTCTTTCGGCCTAATATTCTCGGAAACTCCACTTGGCTGGTCCCCAAATAAAAACAAACGTGGACAGAGCATAAATTTGTTCTAAAGCAAAACAGCAAGTTCAGTTAAGTAACCAAATGTCAGTATGTAAATAAACTTAACACAAGAATATTCGAGTCTTTTCAGCCCAACCACTAGAGTTGATTGGTTAATAATGAGAAAATCAGCGCTTGTGACTTGATAGGAATATCGAGGCAATCCGCACTGGTTGCACATATACCGAAAAAAGACAGATCAATTTCAGTCCTGAACATGAACGGGAAGACTCAACTAACCGATACAAATAAATTATAACACAGTCGGATATAATCAACACCGGGCCTTGCCACAAATGTTTCAATCTAAGTTTCCATACTATATCAGTACACGATAAATAGCAACTCTCGAGAAACAAAAGGTACGAAGTGATATTAAATCTCACCAAGGCTGATGATACTTTCAAGATCAGTAACTACAAACATAATAGCAATAAAGAATTATTTTATGCAATATGGAGAACTTAGAATTACTAGGAACTACCATAAACCTCAAGAAATGAGTATAGTAATTACAAACGTAACGTTCTGAGAAAGCAGAACGTTTAATTCTTTTTGAACTAATAATGTGAAGGGTTGAAGCGGACGAAAACCTAAAAATTTGATTGAAAATACGGTATATGATAATTGGAGGTCTTTATTATGCAATACACAAAATTAATCTTGGGAAAGCAAAACTACACATAATTTGGTTATTGTTTTTTAGGGAGACTATCCATCAATAAAAACCCAAGAAAGTATAGTGGTAAATATTGTTCGAAGTAGTCTTTTAGTTTAAACACTAAAATAAGATCACTAAGAACATTTCATACACCTATCGTCCCTCTGCTAATTTCACACGAATAAGTTCCTGAATATCACTGAACACCTGATTAACATCTTTGTTTGCGTTTATTCGAATTAGTTTATTTTGAGATTCATAGAAATGTAAAATAGGTGTTGCATTTTTCTCATACTCATACAAGCGCTTTTTCAAAGCTTCAGGTTTGTCATCGGAGCGATGGACGAGACGATCACCAGTAATCTACAAAAGATATCAAGCAGCAAAAATTACTTGAATCGTTAAGAAAAAAAAAGAAAGAACTAAAGCGCACAATCAGGTAATTAATTGAGTAGATATTTTAAAGAGTGTACTGCTCCAGTAAAACAATGAAAATATCCTGATTACTATGATCAAAATAGGTCTCGAAAATTTTTAAAAAAAAATCAAAATTATAGATTAGAATAAAATGCATTATTTTTATGGAGCATTAACTTCTTGGTCTTATCTGAATGTGCTGACAAGTTTTCAATGTTCAGTCCAATAACAAAACTCAATGATGAATAAATCCATATTCGAAAAAACCAATACACTTTTATTAACAATTTAATGTTAGTGTAAGTTGTTTATAACACTGACGAAAAACAGTCCAGCATACCTTTGTGTAATCTTATCCGGATTCATGAAGATCCTTTACCCTAATACATACGATGAAGCGTAAGAAATTGCACTTTCCTGCAGTAAAGGTCGACCCTAAAAATGCACACTTCGTCTTATCCCATGGATATCCGTCTCCGGTGGTAAGGCCTCAACAAGTACAGAGCTAACACGAAAATTACTCACAAAAAGGTCGTGTGTGACTGACCTCAAGCAGTTGTCCCTTGAGTACTGCGGTCGCGCTCTCAGGTCACTAAGACCACCACTAACCCTATTTCCTTATCAGGTACCTCCAGGAAAACCCTTCCACGATGTGGGCGACCGGGAAGTAATAGCCACCCTCATACATTTGACGGCATTCAAGATTGCTGTAATCTCGCTCTTCAATTCCTATTATCCCCCCTATGTCGACTCAACTCAACACTTCCTCCTCAAGTTTCATTATGGCCAACGATTATAGTGCGCGAAACACTGTCTCGGGTCTACTCAAACCTCGCTCCAAACTAAACATTGGAGTCTTCAACGTACGCACCCTATGTCAAATCAGCCAGCAAGCCTCCTTGGCTAAAACTCTAGAGTTTTGCACCATTGATGCATGCTGTGTCTCCGAAACACTTGACCTCACCTCGCAAAAACCGGGAGCCGGTGAGAAACACCCTCCGTGTACCTGGTGACCCGATGGCTAGTTCTCGTAGACGGGCGAGTGTAGGTATAGCACTAAGTACGAGGGCAGAAGAAGCATTATTAGAATGGATCCCCGTTAAGAGTCGTCTATGTGCTGTTCGGATAAACGCCTCTGTAGGAACTCGGAAAAATATTGAGCCCGGATGAAGTGAAATATGACTTTCACAGAAATCTTTCTGAACTTCTTCATAAAGCTAAACGCTCAAACATAATACTCACAGCAGGTGACTTTAATACCCAGGTAGCTTAAAACAAATAGAAAGACACTTAAGTGGGTGTCTTGCTGTTTTGGCTCAAAGAACGGTTAATGGTGACTGTCTGTTGCAACTGTGTTCAGACAACCACTTATTTCTAACAAATACTAATTTTAACCATAAGAAGACATTGTCTAACATAGCGAGCACGCATTCGCTTGCGCCTCTCTGGACGCAGGAATGCCACATTAAGAAGACTCATTAGACTTTAACTCAGTGACGAGGAAGCCGAGAGCAGATACCAGGAACAACTGAGGTAACACGTAGGCAGTTCTGAAAACGAGGCTGACTCAGGTGTTGCTTGGAAAGATATACAAACATCTGTGGAAACAGCAGTGATATTTAGTAGTGATTTGAACCAAAAGGTTACGAAAAACCAATGGATTTCTACTCAGTCTATTGTACTGATAGATTCTCGTAAACTCACTCTATCAGGCTCTGAACACGATGAAGAGCGTAAAGAAGTCAGATCTAAGTTAACCAAAAGTCTAAGGAACGGCTGTGAGTAGCAGTGGGCAACGAAAAAGACGAAAAGGCAGCAGTTTTAGGTAACGCCAGACAGCTTTTCAGACTAGTACAAGATACTGGAATTAAGAAATGAAGTTTAGATGAGACGATCTCAGAAAGAGACGACACTCTTATCTGCTCCCAGACGTTTAGAACGATGAGCAAAACACTTTAAAGAGCAGTTCAGCTGGTCTTAAGCTAGTCACTATTTCCAAGCAGCCTGAATGGAACATTGAGATAGATCCCCCGACTCTAATTGAAGTTCAGAAAGCTATAACTAAGTTGAAACTAGGAGATCAGCTGGTCCAGATGGATCGACTCCAGAAGTCTTCAAGTATGGTGGTCTAATTTTAGCTAAAATCTGGGAGTTGGATGTAATCCCATCTAACCGGTCACAATCACTAGTTGTCCCAATATATAAGGGGTCAAAATCATCCTGTGACAACTACATAGGGATTAGTTTGAGTAATATGGCATCTAAAATACTAGCCTCAATAATTATCGGACGCCTTACAAAGACTCGTGAACTGGCTGGCTTCAGACCTGGTCGTGGCTGCATCGACCACATAATCACCATTTGTCAGATCTTATAACACAGGCGTCCGATAATCAATTTTTTTTATTTGAAAGCAGCATTTGACTCTGTAAACCGAGAGGTTCTGTAGCAGTTTGTCATTGAAAGGTGTACCTTATAAGTACATAAACATTGTGGAGTCTCTTTACTCGAACACTAATAGTTGAGTCAGAGCTTATGACGAACTGTCATCTGATTTTGCAATCTCAAGTGGTGTCCGGCAAAGCTGTCCACTATGGTGGTGGTGTATGCTACTTATATTTGTCGACATAAGTCGTATTGAAGCCAACCGGAAGTGGAAAACCTGGCAGCAGAAGACTAGGACAATCAAGTTGAAGAGAATAGAAAGAAAAATGAGAATGAATTGTGAACTTGTAGAATCATGCGGAATTCGAAGGACAAATGATGGAAATTTGCAAATGAAGTATTCAGTGTATGGTCCTTATGTTTTGCCAAGATACTCTGTAATTTTGTATTAAAATACCTTGGTTGTCCCCACCTATGTTCTCGTTGACTGCAACATCAATGGCTAAGATGCTGAATCATAATAACTCTAAGCATTACATATACCACAAAAAACGAAATACAGAATCAGGAACAATGTAAACAAAACTAGATGCATAAATTAAAGTACTTGAGACAGCTCTAGAAGAACACTGACCTAGCCCAGACAGAAACCAATATCCTTAATGTTGCGAAAGGTATCTTCAAATAAACCCCTAGTTAAGCAATTAACAAAAATGGCGAAAGTATATAGACTTCTTAAACAGGAGATAAAAAAACCAAGAGAGCTAAAGAAAGAGCTAATTAATCAAACTGATCAAAGTAACTTTAAAAATTCCAACATTGTGAATTCGAAAAACGCATATAAACAAACAATACTGTTTTCAACTAGATCCTCACCAGGCTTTAATATAATATACAGTAATATTTATATGATTATATGAAATTATTAAACTTCTTACTTATTATGTCTAGTTATGTAATCTATTCCACTTTTACCATTGACTCATAAACTGCCTTGGTTGGTTTAATAATTTACATATGTATATAAATATTACTGTATAATGGAATAAAGCCTGATGAGGATCTCATTGAAAACAATAGTGTTCGCTTACATATGTTGTTCTGATCAAAATAAACGTAACTACGTCCAGAAAAAGTGAAGTTACCAATAAGATTGGGAAAGCTAAAGAAGAACTTATACAAGACCTAATACCTAAACGTGAAGAACACTTACGTCAAGACGAATAGCATTCTCAAAGATAGACTGATCATATTTATAAACCGAACCCTCGACACTCAATAAAACAAAGCCAAAAGATCGATATCACACCAAACGATCACTACTAAGGACTTTAATGGAATTGAAGTAAGCCTAACTGAAAGCATAAGTTATAATGAAGCTGGGTCAGAACCTCTAAACACCTATGAAAAGCTAGGATAAGAGCACGGCAAATAAAATATAGGAATTCTTCAGGTAATAACGGGATAACAATAGAAATGAATGAGTATAGTGTGAAAAAAACCGAAGTATAAACAATGAAGAATAATGTACGTACTTTGGTCAAACCCAGATAAAATACCAAGATACTTGATAGATGACAATGTAGCCAGTGTCTATACGAACAACTGGACCAAAACAGACCTCAATAACGATTGGAGTATATTCCTAATAGATACCGTAGGAAAAACATTCGTTGGAATCATATGTGAACAACTAATCAAATTCACCAATCATAATATACCGTCTAGGTGATTCAATTTACGAAATAACTTATCCACGGTGGTGGCAACAGAATCAATGATATATATCGTACAAAATGACCTGGATACCAACCAAAAACTAGTACCAAAGCTTTAGATCTAATTAAAGCATTCGACACCATCTAAACAACTAATTCAAAACACTTTAAATAAAACATGTTCCCAGCTAAACATAAACCAACGCATAATAGGATTTTTCGACGAACTGAAAGGTCGTTTAGGAGGAACTAACTCATATTTCATTACTTATAGAGGGGTAAAGCAAGGTAGTAAAGATGATCAACCACTCTTTAATCTTGTCTTACAATAAAAGTCCTAAGCTCCTCCAAAGGACAAAACACTAGAGGCCTAAAAATGACTGATAAATTCAAAATATGAGCTAAGAAATATCATATATTGCATATTCAGATGATTTGTGACTAATCCAAACATTAACTAACGAAGCAAGAACATTGAGTTTGCTACAAAACTTCCTTAGTTAAGTTTGTATGAAAATTTCTCACGAAAAGACGGCAACTATGATTATAAACACACAAAACAATAACTCACCAGTCATCATAGGTGATAGCACGATAAAGGAGGCAAACTCTCTTAAGTACCTGGGATCGATAGTTTGAAGCGAAGGTCACCCTAGTGACACGAATAATGTCAACCTGATAAAAGCTAAACATACCACAATAAAAATAAGTCCAGTATGGCGAGCTAATGGTATAAGTCTGAATACTGAAACAAAACTTGTAGAATCCACAATTTTACCAATCTTAACACATGGACTGGAGACAATAGTCCTTAGTAAAAGGATTGGATGAGATAAGGAGCAGTCCCAAATACCATCTAACATACGATGTTAGGTACAAACGATCTCGAGCACACCCCAATAACATTACAAAAGGAAATCTATCAAACATGACCACTAGAATACAATAGAATAGAATGAATGGGTAGTTCGTCACGCACAAAGGCAAAAGGTATAATATTTGGGTAGTTCAAAAAGATGAAGTTTTATAGACTGCGATATATTACCACAATGCATTTTGAACGTTCAGATTATTTCACCTATCCGTGCACTTGGCCACCATATGAAGACCAATGCAGACATGACGGCGGGAATTCTAAGTAGGAGAAAAAAGATCTTTAAAGAGCTTTAAACTAATTCAGTGGTGCAATTTGCCCAAAGATTAGGAGTCGAAAGACATTATAACACACCAGCTAACGAACCTTTACGAGGACAACTTGAAAAAAGTTCGGACCAGTCAGTTTCAACGCACAACCTGCTGCGTATGTGCATTGATTAAGGTTGCCACACACTACTAGCACAGCGGGATGAAATTGCTAGAGTGAACCATAGTAGTAGAAATGGTATCAGTACCAATGGTAATAGAAAATATTGACGATTGAAGTAACGACTCAAAAGAACGTAAATCAGAGAAATAAAAAAACTTGAGGAATTCAGAAGCACGGAACCCAGGTTAGACAAAAAGTAGTTTGAATAATTTAGTTCGTTATCTATTTGATTACATTGAAATACACGTATAGTACGTGCAATCAAGCCTAAAATAATAACTCGGTTGTCTACATCAAAAGGCTCACACAACAGTGTACCTAAGACTATCTATTAGGCTCGATAAGTAGACATTTATATTATTAGGAAAATGTAACTTACGTCATCTACCATGGGGACTTTCGGGGATTGAACAATTCATGATATGACCTACCACTAGCTAAGTGGAATAATCTGCCACAAATCCTTTTTTCCAAGATGGTAGGATCGAGCTTGAATTCCAAAGCAGCCGATAGATGAATCTGACGATCTCTAAGAAGGTTATCAAGCTGCAGTTTGCATATGCAACCTCATGAACATACTTTTTTGGCTTGTTCTAGTGTGCGTGGAAACCCGTCGAATAGAAGTCCATTTTCACATTCCGGAGAATTGATTTTTTGTGCGATTAGTTCACAAACTATGTCATCTGAAACAAGTCCTCCTGATTCCGTAATTTTCTGTACTTTTTGACCAAGTTCTGATCCTGATGCTATAATGGCTCTAAGAATATCTCCTAAAGAAATTTTCAAAAAAAAGATGCATACCAGTAGATAAATGGCAGATTTTATAACGTTCAGCTATTTTGACTGCCTACAAACTCGTACATATAGATTAATATAGATTTACCTGAGTCCCTTTCCCACTACCTGGTGGGCCAATTAAAACTAAATCAATACGTGTCCCTTCACCGAATCGCCACCTTCTATACCATGCAGCGAATTCATGAAACATCGGGACGAACGAGACGCAAAACGACTATGAGTAGAAAACGAACGATTTAACCACCTTTCCGTCCTTAGTGACCTTCAGCGGATAGTGACAATGGCTGTTTTGAATATCGGAAATTTCAGTTTTCAGTTTCGGTTTCACTTTGGGAAGGACAGGAGGTTTGATGACTTGTATTACTTCTAATATAGATGTTCTCTCAGTTGATTCAACCTTTGTTTGAAAGAGTAGACAGATGGAGCTGCAATCATGTGTTGAGAAGATGAATTCCACTCGTTGATGATTCCATTCCGCGCGCTTTTCGAACAGGAAGTTTGGTCCTAACGTGATTTGCACTTATCAAACTTTTGCTGTGTTCTTACGCAACAAAAGTACCATTTCAGTTCTACAGAATCTATCTTGAGCTATACGTTCGGTAGATTACTTTTTTTGAGTTTCACCATATTTAATAGTTAACTGTGGTTTTGCCTCAGCTTACTATTCGGTTTTTTTCACTTTTTCACGTAAAGACTAGTTCAGTTTATCTCATCCGTTTTGTCCATTTTTGTCCGTTTTCAGTGTGTTCTTTAGCATATTTTTAACGGTCTTAGGCTTTTGCTAGCATCTATAACATAGTTTGCTTCAACATAGTCATGAAAAACTCATGCAAACGTCCGGGATGCCGTTTTGCTGTTACAACTGGCATGGAGTGCGACAACTGCAAAGTTCGGTTCCACGGAGCGTGCACAGATCTGACGGCAACTGCTTACAGCAGACTCAGCAAGTCGGATCATAAGTGGGAATTTGTTACATGCAGAACGGATTCTGTAGCTTTGCTGAGTAACATCATTGTCCTACTGACAGGTCTGCAGAGCAAGTTGTCGGCAAACTTGGGAAAAGACAGTCAAAAAATGGGTAGACAAACAAGAGAGCGCATTGAAAACGAGAACAGGGATGTCCACAGGTCTACCAACGCCGGAGCAGGCAACAGCATTAATGATGACACGCTGAAACTCAGCACCATGATTACGATGACGGTACTCGACTCCCTCAGTAAACTCGGGTCTCACAGCTCAAGGTTCTTGAACACTGCAGCGGTTCCCAAAAACTCTGTAGGTGATTCGACCCATGTCAAAAGAGCTGAAAAGGACCAGGCGTCACAGTCTAAGTTGAACATCCCATATGTTGAACGGAAGTCAACTGGTGATCTGGTCGCGCAGTCTACCCCCAAGAATGTTCGTCCGGTCATCAAAGAGCCTGAGATTCAAAAACGTGCCTTGACCTCCAAACAACAAGGTATTAAACCTGAACCCACCGGGAACCTGTTAAATCAACAACAGTTCGTGACGATTCTCCCATAATCATGAATCTCATTTACAATCCTGACCTTCCTCTCAGTCTGCAGGACAAAAATTATAGGATGCTCCGGAGTGAAGTGAACAAGAAGCTCGAAATTCCCAGAATAGAGCCTTTGACGGTCACCCAGATCACTTGAGGAAAGGACTTTAAGCATCTAAATAACCCGAGGCTTCTTCGAGTAACACTCAAGAATGCTACCGACGTAGAAGACGTCTTGCTAGCCAGTCACTTGCTGAACGCAAGAATATTGCCCGATATACCGTACTCTGAGCGCAATATCATACGGAACACCCCCAAAGAATCTCGCGAGACGTTTTTCCGAGGAAGAAACATTATTGTGCAAGGTATACCGGAAAATACGGGCCCTACTCAATCAAATTCTGACATCGAGGAATGGAAATTCACTAAACAGTCCTTGAGGCTCAAGCACATACTGACTCAGCATGTGACGAGACTAGCCAAGAAGGATGGTGATCCTAGACCCCGTCTAATGAAGACAACATTCTCATCCTCCCACATGGCGGCTGCAACTCTGGAAGCATTTCGTGCGAACAGATGTCGGTTGCCACCTGGAATCGAAGTGCACCCGGATAGGACCAAACACAAAGGCAAGATGGAGCTGACCATTCCACTTGTGGACTGTTTAGGTGATAAAAAACGTGTAAAGGACAGGGCCTACCACCTCTACAAACCTCATATAGGTGGGCTACCTGTCCATCCACTTAAGGCTCATACAAACAGGACGAAGCTCACGCGTTCCAAATTGAAAGCATAAACTGCTTATATATGAACGCCGCGAGTCTACCAAACAAAATGGTTGAGTTACGTGAACTTAGCAATGCTAATAAGGCCCATCTGATAGGAATATCTGAAACCTGGATATCTTCTCAGTTCTCGGACCACGAGTTAGCATTACCTGGGATGTCTTTGTTCCGCAACGACAGAAAATCAGGAATCGGGGCGGAGTAGCCGTATACATACGCTCTTGCTTGGAGGTGCACCGAGTTCATAACCTCGAGTTCAACAATCTTGAGGGAACCATATGGTGCTCTGTAAGATTGTCTAGCACTTCGAGATGTCTGGTCGGGGTCATTTACGGGAAGCCAACTGTCGACATAGAGTACGATTGCCGTATGCTGGAAGGGCTATCCGGCTCCACTCGTCTCGGTTTCACATACATCCTCATTCTAGGGGACTTTAATCACCCTAAAGTCAAGTTCGCGGATCACACGTATACTGGAGGCGATAACTCAATTGAAGCTCGATTCCTCAACCTCATCGATGACTTGGGATTATACGAAAATGTGAGGTCGGCAACTCGCTGTAGAAACAGTCAGATACCACCACGCTTAGACGGTGCATTCACAAACGAAGAATTCCTAGTTGACAACCTCTCATTCCTGGCTCCCCTGGGAAAAAGCGATCATGCAGTCATAGCCTTCAGTTTTGTCAGCAAAACTAGGCTAAGATATCCCACCAATAACTTGCGCTGGAATTTCAAACGGTTTAATGTACCAGCTCTACGCGTCTGTCTACAACATGTGGATTGGGATGTTCACCCTCAACTCTTTGTGGACGGTCATTGGGACTTTTACTGCACACGCTCTTATGTGCTACAAACCATTCAGTTCCTCAAACGGTTCCCAAAAGCTGCAAGCCACCTACAGTAATCAAGAACCGTACCCTTCGCCTCCTAAGCCGCAAACGGCACTGCTGGGCGGAATACAAACGAACTGACAACGACGGAGAGTACAGGCAATATAAACATATCAGGAACATATGCACGAAGGCTATAAGAGAAGACAGGCTTCAGTACCAGACAAAGCTTATGGACAAATTTGCCTCTAACCCTAGAAGCCCATTCCGTTATGCAGCCTCTCTTCGTCAAGCCAAAACAGGAGTTTCCCAACTGCTAGGTCTTAACGGCCCGACCAACAACGATGGCGACGCCGCTAACCTTCTGGCGAACATTACTCTCAGATATTTCAACCGACTGACATCAACTTTACTGATGACAGTTTCATCTGCAATTCCACAGGACTTTCCGAAGTGAACCTAAGCGCTGACTTGGTGTTCCGGAAACTGCAGCACTTAAGAATAGACACTTCTCCTGGCCCATATATGGTCCATTCTGCCATACTGAGGGAAGCAGCCTCAATCCTGGCAACGCCGCTTAGCGTGATGTCCTCACACTCGCTAAGCCGAGGCAAACTACCGGAAAATTGGAAGTTGGCTCACATCACACCAATTTTCAAAGGAGGTCGACGCAATGAACCTTCAAGTTATCGGCCGGTGGCTCTTCTGTCATTACCTTCAAAACTCATGGAGTCCCTGATATGCGACGGTTTAAACGACTATCTACTGTCCTTAAATTTCTTCTCACCCCAACAGCATGGTTTCAGGAAGGGCTACTCTTGTATAACCAACCTGCTGACTGCGGTGGACAGATGGACAAGCATCCTCGATCGCAAGGGAAAGGATGACATCATCTACCTAGATTTCTCAAAAGCTTTTGATAAGGTTAACCATTTATGTCTTATCAATAAGCTCAAACGACTAGGTATCAAACCACCTCTAATCGATTGGCTTACTTCATACCTGAAAATCGACACTTTAAGGTTAGGGTTAATTTCACTTTATCTCAGGCTATGGAATGTCCTAGTGGGGTCCCCCGGGGCTCAGCACTAGGACCTCTTCTATTCTTGATCTGCATAAATGATCTTCCTCAACGGGCAACGTCAGAATTATTACTCTCTGCTGATGATGTTAAACTTTTGAGAGAGATATGTGATCAAGACGATATACAGGGACTTCAGGAGGATCTGACTCGGCTCCAAAATCGGGCAGATAATAATGGACTTACCTTTAAAACTTCAAAGTGTAAAGTAGTCCATCTGCGACAAGTATCAGACTACAGTTATAACTTAGGAAACTCCTCTCTAGTAGTATCCCAAGTAGAAGAAGCTTTTGGAGTCCTGGTGCCCCATTATTTAAAGTCACGCTAACTGTTACAAAAATGCCTTCCGAGCAAACCTTACACTGGTAACGTTGAAGCGCATTTTTAGACAGTTCGACGAAAGAACTTCCCATATAATCTTCAATAGTTTTATCCGTCCCCATTTAGAGTACGGAAACGTAGTATTTCCTCCCTCACTCCAAAAGGATAAGGACACTTTGGGGCGTATCCAACGGCGAGCCACGAAATCAGTTCGAGGACTCAAATTTAAACCTTATGAAGAGCTCCTCCATTCACTAGATCTTTACTCATTAGAGTATAGGCGTCTTAGAAATGATCTATTAATGGCTTATAGTATTCTCAACGCTTCTGGACATCCTCTTAAACACCTACCTAAGATTAGTTCGAACAATAACCTAAGGGGGTAAGACCCAGAAACTGGAGACACAACATAGCAAAACGGAATATAGACATAACGTCTACTCCTTAAGAGTTGTCAAATGCTGAAATTCGCTACCAGCCGAGCTAGTCCAGGCGACTTCCCAAGAGTCCTTCTAGAGGCAACCTGACCTATTCTCAAGGACCAAGGACAGCATCATACTGGGATTTACCAATTTCTTATTCATCTTTTATTGCTAACATAACCAGGTTCCTGATTGGAGGGATAAGGGTGATCCCCTGATACTAGTCACGGAAGCCTTTTTAGCGAAAG